AAGTCTTTTTCATCCCGAAAGCTTGTGTAACATAACGTATAAGGTGGCCCAGTAAGCAGCGTAAAAAGTCTCTCTTGCTTAGTTTATTTTAGAACTTTAATTCACACTGAGCTCAGTTCTCCGTTTTGTCCCAGTGGGCAAGCTTTATTTTTAAACCTCTTTCTCACACTTATTAATATAATTCCCTCCACACCAGGAAGCCACCCTTGGGGAAGCCCAGTTCTTTTGCTAATAATTTTGTATTTTGCGGTTCTTAGACAAGTTCTGAATTACAATTGGCTGCTAAGGCGCTTAGGTTTTGTATACTTTTTTCCCTCCTTCTAAAGCAAAATATTGTATGAACAGAGAAGTGAAACTGTTAAATATTAGCAGATCTAGGATTTGCTGATCGATGTAACCAGGGCATTAAATCCTGCTTTATGCAAGAATTTCTCGCAGAAAGCATGATATCAAAATAGCTTATTGTACATGGCAATTGTTGTCGGTTATAAGGTATGCTGGTCAACCATTCATTCTTCTAGTTTTGTGGACTGGGGGAATTCAGTCTAATGTATGGCTATACCATAAGTTATTGGAAGTCTACTTACTTACAGTGGGCAGAGGCAGACATATTTTGGGGTGCCCAGGTCAGCCTCCCCTCAGTGGATCTCCTTGCAGTGCCATTTACAAGATGGTGGTGGCAAACTGCCTGCTTCTCTGACCTTGGTCATGGTACCAAGTGGATCTCTGCACCAGGGCTGGCCACCGATGAGGGGGACTGAAGCAGCCTCCTCAGGTGGCAGAACCCTGCTTGGCGGCAGCTTCCAGTTAAATCTTGCAGGAAGCCCCTGCAGCTACACAACCATGGTGAGCAAGGCTTTGGCGTGGTGGCAGTGGTGGGGGAGTAGCAGCTGTTGAGCGTAATGGTTTAATTCACACAGAAATGAAAAATGTATTAAGGAAGGTTTTAAATGGAAAATGGCTAAATGAGTATCGCTGACACTGGGGATGTTCCATGAGAGTTTTTCTAAAGGACTTTGAGCTTCTTGCTAAGTTCATGATTAACTAACTGATTGTTGTTCCCTGGTAACGATCATGCGAGAGTTGTAAACTTCCATCAGGTGACAGGTTTTGGGTTGCAATCTCCATTTTGAAATGCGGTCTTTGCCTCCCAAACTTAATGGAGTGAAGATACAAATGGTGTTTCTTTCTGAACACTACAAGGAGAACAATGCAAGTAAATGGCCCTCCTAAAGGGAGAGCTAACAGCCTGGAGGCTGGAAAACACGCTGGAGAGAGAGGGAGGGAGGGAGAGAGAGAAACCTTTGCTTATAGGTCCATTCGGATTATTTCATATTTTGAAAGATGCTAAACCTGTGCTGGATAGCACAAAATATAGTATGGATATTTTTGATGCTTTAAGTCTGTTTTGAAGAAAGTCCTGCCAGTAAAGTTTGAATAATATTTCCACGGGCCTGGACACTGTTTCATTTCCAAAGGAGTCCGTCCTTATGCTTCCAGTTGCTTCAAATAGCGCAATATTTAATATCTGCAACCTTCCGTTCACCTCACGCGGCAAAACGGGACAGGCCGCCTCTCCTCCAGGCCCACACAGTGCATCTGTACTCATCAGTAACACCATGCCAATTCAACCACTTCTGCATATATCAGGGAAAGAGACAGTCTAATTAATATGGTGATGCCAAGAAGTACAGGCACATGGGCCCTGAGCTTCATTGAATGTCACCACCAGATGGCCCCTGGGTTTCCACCACCATATAGGTGAGTCATATCAGCTGCAGTGCCAATGACAGCCAGGTGGCAGTAGCAGCTGGATCCAGTCCAATTATGTTCTGTGTTAGCACAATGCAGAGATATCTAACGGTACATTAGTTGAGGACCTGCGGCTTAGAAGAAAATGCTCCTCTAAGGCAGCAGTATCAGACGGAATTGATCCTATCCTTCAGTTATTTGCAGTTGCTAATTCTTCCCCAGTTTAATGTTATTTATTCTTTTGAAAACACCATGTACAGGGGTCAGCAAAATTTTCAGCAGGGGGCCAGCCCACTGTCCCTCAGACCTTGTGGGGGGCCGGACTATATTTTTTTGGGGGGGGATGAACGAATTCCTATGCTCCACAAATAACCCAGTGATGCATTTTAAATAAAAGGACACATTCTACTCATGTAAAAACACGCTGATTCTCGGATTGAGAAGGTGATTGGGCTGGATCTGGCCCCCAGGCCTTAGTTTGCCTACCCATAATGTACATTAATGCCAGGAGAATGGCAGCAGCAAAGAGCTAGCAGAATTGGGTCAGTTTCATTACTATTTTTTTAATTTTTCAGTTCGGTGCTGTTCCAAATAATAGCCATTAAAAAAGTGGTTTGGTAATGTTCTGAGCAGCTTTGAACTAGTTCTGAATTGATTCAAATCCAGTTCAGAAAAGTGTTCAATTAAGTTGGATGCAAAACATTTACATATAAACTTTCATAATGTCTTGACTGTTGCAAAACTTTAATAGCGGCAACTTTTATAAAATGAATACTAGGCAAATACTATATAACTTGATGAAATTCCATATTTTCGAACACTGGATTTGCATGCCCTGATGTCATATCCTGCAGAAGGCTGCCAGTCATATTTGACAACTGAGTGGACAGAATGATTTTCAAATATTTTCCAAATATTCTTGCTACAGCAGCTAGCATAGAGAAACAGTAAAATACAATTTATATTAGCTCATTTTAGGTATTTCTATTTTTTGACAACCCAAGCAGCAAGGAACAGTGAGTTTAAATGACAGATATATAAATCAGTGGTGCAGCCATGTGTAGAGTACTTTGTATATATACATTTCTGGGTCCCCACAGTTCAGGTCAGCTCTCTGGTATGTAGGCATTATTGCTCCAAAACGATAAAACAGATTTTTTAGGACAGAACAATAAGGGGAAAATAATAATAATAATAATAATAATAATAATAATAATAATAATAATTTTATTTATATCCCACCCTCCCCAGCCGAAGCTGGGCTCAGAGCAGCTAACAACAATAAAAGTAAAATATAAATGGCAAGAAAGCATGGACCAACAAATGAAATGTACTAATATACTTCACTTTTTACTTACATCATCTTTAGATTGGAAGTCTAAGTCATGTCACTACAGTTATCTGCACCTTGACTCCTTAGCAAACTCCTTATGGGTTGTACACAATGCTAGTCCTACTCGGAGTTGCCCCATTGAAGTCAATAGGCATGACTAAATTCAGTTTACTAATTTCAGTTAGGTGGAATCTACATACATATAAATAACATTCTGAAAATGCTTTCTTTTTAAAGCGTTTTAAAAAACACATTCAATTTTTCATGAGGCTCACCATCGCCAGCTAGTGTCATATTGTATATTGCACTTAAAACACACTTAAAAAGTTTTATTTGCAGCTGTATAGCTGAGTCCTTGGTGTACCTAAGAAGGAAATCATCAGGGAATCTGAATCCCTCCCTTCAGGGGTGGACTTTGATAATATGGTGCCCTGAGCGTGGACAAAATTCTCCTCTCCTTTCTTATTTTCACAATAATTCCTTTTGGTACAGTTTCTTTTTTATGGATCATCTCAGTAGGTAGCTTTATAAATACAGGGCTATTGTTATTAATATAATTATGCGCCCCCTCGGCTTGGGGCTTCATGTGGGGGAAATGCCTACACTGCTCTAAATCCAGCACTGCTCCATTTTACATGCAGAAATGTCTTCAACGCATGCCAGGCCCTTTTTGAATTAACCCCTGTGTGATTCTCCTGTTGGTCATCATTGATATCACAGATCCTCACCAATTGGAGCGTCCCTCCAGACAACATTCAAATTTGTAAATGTCATCTCTTTGCTATCCATAGGGGAGAAAATGAATTCTCTAAGCAAAGTAATAAATTGCTGCTTGACTTCTGTATCTCAGAAACAGAAGTGAATTCTTCAGGGAAAACCTGAGCTCCATGCAACAACCCGTGCATTTCTTGTGCTACAAATCTGATCAGAAAGCTCCTTTGGGGCAATTAATCACCAATGTTTTACAGTGAAACAATATGGTGCAATCTTTTCCATAAACTTGCCTGGGGTAGGTCATCTGTGGCAGAAGGAATCGGTTCCAGTGAATCCTATTGCTTTCACTTCTACACATCTCTTACAGTGGAATAGTTAACATGAGCATATTTAACAGTACTACAGAGTCCCACGACACGCGTTAGGATTGCCCCTTGATAACGTGAAAGATTTAAACAACCAACTCAACACTGTTACTCTCTGATTTTGCACATGTAAAAGTTGATGAATTAATCATCTCGACCCTGTTTTGTCATTACACATGGGCTTTGGGGCACAAGCAATTTAGTGGCACTGCCATATAGTTTAATTAGATGTTGTTCTGCAGAGTTTTGTGTGTTCGAGTTACTTCTGAAATGTTATGTGACTGACTAAACAACCTCTTCCCTCTGCACACATGTTGGTGTTAAATATGTTACAAACATTTATAGAAATCATAGTCTCCTTAAGCCAATAATTATTTCTCCCTCCCTCCCTCTCTCTCTCTCTCTCTCTCTCTCTCTCTCTCAACAATATTTTTTCTTTGTACAGTGGACGCTCGGGTTGCGAACGTGATCCATGTGGAATGCACATTCACAACCTTCAGCATTCACAACCCGCAGCGGTGTGTCTGCTCACGCATGGGTTGCGATTTGGTGCTTCTGCGCATGCACAAAGTGCAATTTAGCGCTTCTGTGGATGCGCGACCGCCAAAACCCAGAAGTAACCTGTTCTGGTACTTCCAGGTTTTGGTGGTCCGCAACCTGAAAAAACACAACCTGAAGCGTCTGTAACCCGAAGTATGACTGTATATATCATCTGCTCAGTGCTATTTTTCTAGAAAAAATGGTGCTGGAACTCACCAGGAATGCCTTCCTCATTCTTTTAGAATGGCAATGGTGAACATCTGAGAGGTGCTGGAACAGAGTTCTAGTGAGTTCCAGCTGAAACAAAGCCCTGTACCTAGCCCAGGTGAGAGTTACCTATGTATATTACAAATCCCATCACCATTGGACCTCACTGGCTGGGACTAATGGGAGTTGGAGTCTGACAACCTCTGTAGAACCAATGTTTTCCCATCCTCCATATAAAAATAATGTGTCAAAATTTTTGATGTCTGACCTTCAGTACCTGTTTACTGCTTGCATGGAAGCATACTGGATTCTTTCCCTTTATTCCCTGCCTTCTGCTATAATTGCTTTCCCTTGTTCACAACCTAGTAAATAATATATGTTCACATTAGAGTGTTTGTCCCTTTGGGAGGAACTTCCATTCACCTCATTCTTTCCCCCCCCCCTCCAGACATGCTACTGTGTGTGACACTATGAGATAAAGAGAGTAAACAAGCAGGTTTCAGCTTGAATGATTGCCATTGCTCAAAACCACAATCTATGTGTACTCCTGCTTTACGAAAAACGAGATGATCTCGGTCAGTACCTCTTGGTAATTATAACTGTACTCCTTTACAACCTCTCATATACGAAGCATAAAACACATCGCAGTCGCTGCCTACCTACATTTTACAGATTGTGATCCATGGAGGTCAGGTCCCTGTGTTTACATGGTTGCTTATCCTGAAATAACAACCAGAAATAACAACCTGCTCCTGTTTTTTCAAGATAATGTGTTTCAGCCTTTCATCATTTGCTCGTTCAGAAGTGAGTTAAATCTGTAATCCTTGGCAAGATTCGTGGCTTTGGAGTCACCTCTCCATTGTCCCAGGGTATATCATTATGTAACTGATAACAGGATTGTTCCCATTGAAGGCTGAAAGGTGCAACATATGGAGATACATTGCGACTTGCCATCAGTGCTAGAGAGTCAGCAAGAGTGTGCTGCTAAAATGTTTATTGACTCCCTAGGTACAAATCTTAGAATAGCAGCCTCTGAATGTTGAACAAATTCAAAGTACCATAGAAAAGGTGGCAAGCTAGTGGTGTGTGTTTGTGTGTGTGTAAATGCTGATGATATGCAATGTCCAGACTCTTTATATTTAAAATAACTTTACTCTCATAAATGTATAACTGAGAAGGACATAGCTACACTCTCATGCTTATTCACTTTGTTTGTTATAGAGAGCACAGGTTTCTTCCTATTAACATTTAGGGATCTTCCTTTGTCTGCTTTATCCTAGGCAGACCACCCTCAGCAGAATCTGGCGAAGCCTCTCTCAGCAGCCATTCTCCGTCATTCAGAGAAAAACAGAAAACAGTTAAAAACAACAGTTACTTGAATAACAGTCACAACAGAATGGAATGCCTCTCATATGATTCACAGTCAGCCAATCACATGAGAGAGCTAATGCCAAAGGAAAAACCCCATGCTTAAAATACACAGCAATTCAGCCAAGGCAACATTCCCATTTCAGGAAATCAAACCATTATCCTTAACAGTTAGTGTCTACTGGGTTTGGAGGTTTGGATAAAGTAAACCACTCATCAACCTTTGTCATAGCCACTTTATCAAGTTTCTCATTAGGAAAGTAGTAGTGTTACATTTACAATGTGATCTTCAGTATTGTAGGTTTTCATTGTCGTTATCATGAACTGTCACTATTAACCAAAGTGCTTTCTGGCTTTATTCACAAAACTGCTCTCCCCACAGTTTCTAGTGCCAATTGGAGCCGAATGGGATGTGTTAATAGGCTAAGGATGTAATCCAAAGGACAACTATTTAGTTCCAAGGCAGAGAAAGCCAGCATACATCCATTGTCCCTTACCAGCCCTAAGCAGTCAGTGGAGGATAGATATTTTTTAAGAATGTGACTGCTCTTATGATTTTATGCAACTGACTTCAGAGTGGACTGCATATGCAAACCAAATAATGTTTTCCCAGGGAAATCAATATTCAAAGCAATGCAGCAAAACTAAGACTAGAATAAATGGCATTCCCTTTCTGAAATGTTGCATCCCTGCCCCATTAAAAGAGGCAATAAGCCCAAGGACATAGGGAGCCACTTGATAATCTTACCATGCAGTGTCTACAAAATATTCCCTGCAGTGTGGGATTGTCCAAAGCTACACATGCCACATGCTGAGTGCTGAACAGGAAAACTAGCCACTGCTCACTGAAGTAGTCTGGGGGTTGGAGGGAAGAGAGCAGTGTGCTGACCTGTTAACAAGTCCATATTTGAGAGATCAGTTGCAACCTTTTGAAATATGATACTCCCAGAAACTACAATTAATCCAGAATGCAGCATCTAGACTGGCGACTCAGAGTGGCTGCCGAGACCATATAACACCAATACGACTTTATCTGCAATTTTTTTTGCAAAATCATTGCAGGAGATCTTGGGGTCCTCACCAGATGCTGATGGCAAAGGTGGTTCCGTTAGATTGCCAACCACCTGAAAGAGCCTCCTGCTGCTGTTTTCTGCAGATGCAATACAGACGGTGAAGAAGGTCCCCTTTGCCATTGCTATTGCCACTTGGTAGGCTCAACATTGAGCTCTAACCTGTGTTTGGTCCAATTCAGAATGAGGTTTCCTCTACTGGCGCTCTATCCATCTCAGCGATTTTTTCATCGCCCTCAGCTCCAGGGAAAAACATGGGGTTGTCCGGGCTCCATGCAATTGGAGAGGGCACTTTGGAGCCAGACAGTCAATAGCCCTGGTTAACTCTGCATTCCAGCAGGCCACCACGGAATCAGCTTAATGGCCATCAACATGGGATAAAACACTCCTTACCACTCTTTGGAAACCATTTGCATCCATTAAATGGTTGGGGCGGGCCATCCAAATCGACCCCAACTCTCTGCAGAGAGGAAGGGTCACAGAGAAGTCCAGTTGCACCAGGAAATGTTTATATAAATGCAAGTCCGTGGCTAAATCCGATGCTGTAACTTCTATGGAAACAGCTCATGAATCAATTAATGATTCATGATAACTATTGATATAATTATAGTTTATCACTGTCTGCAATTCTATGTACTGTTTTGTGTGAATTCAGAAAGAAGTATATTTAAAATATTTCTAAAATGAGAACATTTGTTATCATATTCAAGATTGCATTTATTAGCTGGCATGTTTAAAATCTGATCTTTATTTCAATTAGATAGGGAACTTTTGAATTATTGACTGACGTACAGTGCATATACAGTGGTAGGGTATAATCAATGATAGGAACACTTTGTGGCCTGTTACATATAAAGACAGAAGGTCAGAGTTGTGCATTAACAGGGACAATTAGAGCTTTCTCGAACATTCAGCCATTTCAAACATGGCTGTGAGTTCAGCAGCAATAACAGCTTTTAGCAATGCATAGCTTTCACAAAGAAACAAGGATTTATTAATTGAATTACATGGAGTCAAGGACCCATGTATCTGGCTGAGAAAAGCAGAGCACTTTTTAGAAAAAATGTTTTGTACTATGTATGGAACAAGAGACATTTAATTCTCTTTTGCTCCTGCTCCTGCTCCCTCTCCCTCTCCCTCCCTCCCCTCTCTCTGTGTATAGATAGATGATGATAGCTAGATAGATGATAGATAGATAGATGATAGATAGAATCTTATTTTGTTCTATTAATTTCTGTTTTGTGTTATAGAAGGAAATGATTCCTATTAAATAATGTGGAGGTCTTTCTAGAGGGTTTTTTTAACAGTAGTTTGCATAGTAAGCTTAAGTAGTGCTTTTGTTCTATAAGACCACTGAAGGCAGTTTTTAAAAAGTCATTTGGAAAGATTCAGATTGAATAAAACTGTCAAATGGCACCATTCAAACTTGAAATGAGTGTATGCCTTACATACTCTGCAGAAAAGGTCTCATTAGATACACACACACACACACACACACACACACACAAATACCCATCAGGTTTATTGCAAGATCACTTAGAAAACCAGCTTAGGCATTACCTTTCGTGAAAGCATCATGCTGCACATACATGACAGGTCAAGGTACTTGAATTATTTTCCTTTAAAAAACCAACCAAGTTTCTGATGGAATGTGGCACCTATATTCACCATTTAATCTTCTGCTGAGATTGTTCTCCATGTAGTATTGCAATCTCCATCCCTACAAAGGTGTGAGACCAAATACCCCCCTCACATTTGACATATGGAGGAGAATCATTCTCAGCAGTGGTGGCCCGACTGTGGAAGGGCTGTGTGGCCTTCTTTCATTGAAACATTTGCACATGAGCCTCAGAAGCAAGGTAATGACACCAGCTGATCTGTCTTTGCTGGAGAATAATTTATTTTAAACTGCTTTGTAAGAAAGATTTCTCAGCAAGCTCCTGTTCACAGTAGTGTTCCTTCCCCTTTGTCATTGCTTAGTTAAGGTGCTTAGAAATAAAGCAAAAGATGATTGACATATGCTATATATCTGCTTTCATAAGGGATGAGTCATATATAAGCAGCAGCACAAGACACATTGCCTTCTGTTATCTAGTTGGCATCATTAGTTTCAACTTATTCAGATTTGGTGAAGCATTGTTACAAAGGCTGCTGAGAATGGCCTAATTAGCATTCAGGATGCTAATTGTTTTAGTAGCAAATTATTATATTGCTTCCTTGTTGTCACTGATTCATTCTCAGTCTATTTCCGTGTCACACTGTGTGCTGAGGGACTTGTATGTGTCACAAATAACTCTGCAGCAATGGCTGTCAACAAGGTTAAGAATTAATTATAATATATCACACTGACTGTTCAACAATAAAACAACAAGCTTGGATGGCTTCATTACATGGCTGGGGTTGTTGACAACACTGAAACACAAATAGGGTTCACAGGTTAGATAAGAAAGGGAAGGAAAGCCCTTCCATGCAGTCTTTATGATGTGTCCCAGGAATTAGAAGAATCCAATTCTGTCATGACCCAATTTGTCACAACCCTGACAGTTTCTCTCATGGTAATATGGTGACTAGCAAACCTGCCCCAGAGATCCCATAGAGTCCCAAGCAAAGTCAGATGGAAACTCCCCACAGGCCTCACTGAGCAGGATCCACTTCTAGACCTTGAACACAGGGAAACAATCTGGACATTTTGAGTGGGGAGTCAATCACACGAGTCACCTGGTGCTCTTTAGTGGAAAGGGCAAAGGTTGCAACTTGAGGCCATTCAATGGTAGCCATTCCACACAGCTCCAAGCAGGCATGATATGCCTATCAGTTCTTTGGAACTTTACTTAAGAGACAGAGTTGTAGAAGCTGTTGGACTTGCTTTGAAATATAAGCTCTGTTGTAAAAACACATGACTTGCATGCAGAAGAACCAGGATGGACTCCTCTCTGAACCCCTGGAGAATTGCCTGTTGGTGTATAAAATAGTAGGTGTGCTAATGGACCTCTTCAGGCATTCTTCCTGCGTAAGTAAACATGCAGTTTGGATAACAGGGATGAGCATTCTAGCTGCTCCTATTGTCATTCCTGTCACCCTTTGCTAGTTATGAATTGGGGAACCCACTCCCCTGTCCTCATGGAGACTCCCCACTCTAAAATAACCCAGCTTGTCCAAGTTGCTATGGTTCACATATTTCTGTGGCCATCATGAAATATTTCAGCTTTCCATTTATGTTCGCCCATAATGGTGGAGCTAGGAATAACAATAGAGTTGTTTATAATGGAGCCCATGTTTCACCTGCTCAAGCCTAAATGAAATAATTGATGGGATCTCTACTAAATCATTGTCTCAATAATACATTTATTTAGAGGGACTTACTGGATGCTGAGTGTTTTAACTATACTGAGCCATTAAAGCAATGTTCCAGAAGAAAAAAGATGAACCTAAAACCATTTCAGATGCAAAATAGAACAAAATTAGTAAGCTATACTAGAGTTGCTGAGCCTACAGTGCCTTTGAGCCAATATAGTTCTTAACAATGTGGCTCTCTCCATTTTATTGCCATTTTTCATGGTAATTAATGTTTAAAATTTCAACTGAAGAGAGCAGCTAGGAATCAATTGAGATGTCTTATCTTAATTGTTCTGCAATCAATATTTGGATTCTTGTTATCCGGACAGCTTTTTGGTGACCTACAAAGGAAAGATAATTGTATAAAATCAGTGGGAGATTTTCCTTCTGCGAAAAATACTTGGGGATTATTCACATATTAAGGGAGATGATATACTTGCCCAGAGCTTCATTTAGGCGCTTTGAGATGTGTATGTGATGAAGAAGATTGCACCCCCTGCAAACACCATTTGATTTGTTGGAACCTGTGCCATGTTGGTCTGTTATTTATTGTAAATGGTGTGTGCTTTTTCTCAATAATTTTTTGTATTGAACGTGGTAAAAGGTAAAGGGACCCCTTACCATTAGGTCCTGTCGTGGCCGACTCTGGGGTTGCGGCGCTCATCTCACTTTATTGGCCAAGGGAGCTGGCGTACAGCTTCTGGCGAACCAGAGCAGTGCACGGAAACGCCGTTTACCTTCCCACCAGAGCGGTACCTATTTATCTACTTGCACATTGATGTGCTTTCGAACTGCTAGGTTGGCAGGAGCAGGGACCGAGCAACGGCAGCTCACTCCGTCACGGGAATTCGAACCGCCAACCTTCTGATCAGCAAGCCCTAGGCTCTGTGGTTTAACCCACGTGGTAGATAAGTCTAATTCATCTTTAATTCTTCAGTGATTTACATCCAAAAAAAGGTGACATTGGCAAGCAAATTTTAAAGGACACTTGAGTGGATAAGCCGTATCATTTAGACCAGAGGAGTTAGGCTGTTTCTCTCATACCCAACTGAAGACACATGGAAATATACAGAATCGACAGGACTACAACTTTACTAGTTTTAAAGGTTTATCTAAAATGGGATTAAATGCTAAGTATGCGCACCAGTTGTGGGTAAAGGCCAAATAATTTTGGGGTGGCTTTCTACATTCCTGTGTCAAAGTGTGATGCCAGCAACCTCCTCAAGTTGTATCTGGTCCCCCATGAAGCCTCCTACCCCCCTGTTGTTTCTATACTTTTCTATTCCGATACCCATGGGCTTTGCAGAAGAGAGGCCAGCCAAGACATTTCCCTTACTAAACAAACACTGAAATGCTTTCCAGCCAGTTGATAAAATGGTAAAACCTCAGCGGGCTGGAAAGGGATGAACTATTGCTAACTACAAATGGAAATGTTGAGCACAAAGATTACTATGTTTCCCGTCAAAAGGAAATCATTTCAATTGTTGTTCATGTGTTGTTCAGTAGGAACATGGAAATAAATTACTTGTTTGCCTATCACTTCTGCAAGTAGGTGTATAATCCATTTTTTAAAATCCAGGCTACACATAACTGTGCTTTTAATTGGTTTATTGGAAATATCTCCAAGGTTATTCATAAGCATGGGCTGGAGTCATATTGTTGTGCCGAAAACATCAAAAGGGGCCCTGGGTATTTGAAATTGCTCTCAGAAACACAGGGTTTTAAACTGTTTTTAGCAAACTATCTATAATTTGTCAGGAAGAAACTGACTTTCTCATAGTATATTCAAAAGACTGCAGTACATTCAAAGTACTGAATTATTGATGCAGTAATACAACACTTGCATTATGCTATTTTTTTGAATAAAAATTTCCATTCTGATCCGATATTATTATTTTTGAATGCATTTTAAGAGAGTTATTGTCAAAACAGTGTGTAATTGATAATGTCAATGTATTCCCTTTTTCATCCTCTGCAGCAACTCTTCTCAGAATTCAGAAATGAGTTTATATATTGTGAACTTCAAAAGAAAAGAAAAATCAGTTTTCAAAAGGGTCATATTTCCAAATCCCTTCCCTTGTGGTTCTCATTAAAAGGTCAGCAGTATTTGCTAGCTTTTAGTGCTCTATGATAATGCCATTTTTCTGATATGCAGAAAAGCAGTAGCCAGATAGTTGTTACACTGCCATCAGAGTATAGAAATATTTCTTTTTTGAAGCAAATCAGTTAATGTAATTAGTACACTTTGAGGGTTTTTTAAAAAAGAATAAATCATGGAATAGGTCTATGCATATCAGAAATACAACGGATATCTCCCAAAAGTACATTTATAGCCATTTTTGGAAACTACATTACACTAGATATACTTTGATCTAGGGCAGCAAGGCAATTCTTACACTTCTAGGCCAAAGTACTATACACAGCTACTGGGAAAGTAGACATGTTGAACAATTCCAATGTGGAAGCCTCCTGTTATAGCATTTCATCAGCCTCCAAATCTACCCAAACTACTAGTGCGAGTTGTGCCTAAACCATCTTTCAGCAATCCTAGATTAATTCCAAATGCAGACCCTCCAAGTGTCCCTATTTTCCAGGGATGTCCCTGATTTAGAGAAGCTGTCCCAGTTTCTGACTGATCCCAGAATGTCCCTTTTTCCCTTAGGACTTCCCTATTTTCATTGGAGAAATATTGGAGGGTATGGAGTTTACCGACCCTGGAGCCATCTGAAGGCAATCCTGTATAAGGAAGTTTTCTAATGTTTAATGTTTTATTATGTTTTTATATATCTTGGAAGCCACCTAAAGCAGCTAGTGAAACCCAGTCGGATGGGTAGGATATTATTATTATGGAATAGGATGTCCCTATTTTCATCGGAGAAATGTTGGAGGATATGGTAGATATTATTCCAGTGATTGAATCCCTGCTGTTTGAGATAGATAGATTGAAAGAGACCTTTCTTTTAAAAAATGCTCACCCCCCGCATATTTTCTCTTGAGAGGTCTAAGACAGGCATGGCCAAACTTGGCCCTCCAGCTGTTTTGGGACTACAACTCCCATCATCCCTAGCTAACAGGACCAGTGGTCAGGGATGATGGGAATTGTAATCCTAAAACAGCTGGAGGGCCAAGTTTGGCCATGCCTGGTCTAAGAGAATGAATGTAACTTTTCTTAAAATGTAGGTGGAAGAGGATTTCTTTAACTAGTTCTAGCTTTAAGGATCCTACTTGGGACTACCCTTAAAGACAGGCTGGAAGCTGAAACTACTGCAGAACATGGTCACCAGAGTTTTGAGTGGAACATTCATTTGCACACTGTTTCTGCAAGATCTGCTCTGATTGCCTATATGCTATTGACAAAGCCCTAAATGACGGATCCAACTAACTGAAGGACTGTCCCTTCTTGAGTTCTGTAGGAAAGACCCTTTACATGGTTCCAGCAATGGGTGTAACCCATTGTGAGGTGACATGGGAAAAATGTCTTCTCTATGGTGATATGACACTTGTGAAACTTGCTTCCCCTGGAAGTGTGGTTGT